GGGGCCGGGGCCGGGGCCGGCCGCTCCGGCCGTCCCCGCCGCCGGTTCCTCCGCTCGCCGCTCTCCTGTTTTGTTTCTCTTTTCCCCTTAAACCGGTTTTCACAGCAGCTGCCCGGGTGTGCGGCTGCAGTTGGCATATTTCACGCGTTGGAAAAAAATTAACTGTTTTTCCTTTGTATCTTAATCCAGTGATGAGAGCTCTCCTTTGTTGGCTTTCGAGCTTGCATTTGTTTTATTTATTATAAGGAAATCCAGTTTGGTTCAAATATATAATCCATTTGAGCACTTAAATCCCCAAACAGCTGGCATTATTTTGTTTTATAATCTTTGGCTTTTCTGCGCAGAGCATATTTCTAAATTCCTACTTGACATTTATGGGGAAAAAACTTTTTAATGTAAATGGATATTGTGATTTTTTTCTGAGTCTTTCCTTATTTACATGCATCATCAATTTTCCTGGGTTTCCTATTGTTTTAATCTTTTTCCCCCCCCATAGCTCGTTAATTAATTTTTTTTCCCCCAGAAAACTTTGTTTCTGGAGGGAGAAAAATGTTAATTTGCCCCATTATTTTAATCTCTGGCATTTGGAAATGGTTGAGAGACCACAAAAATGCAACCTGTTGTAGAAACCAGAGTGGTGTGTTTTATTTATTTTAATCGATAGCAGAGAGGTGATTTAGCAATAGGAACTCTGAGCAGCATTTTAGTAAAAGATTTGCAGATCTGGTGGCTGCGTATGGTGTGTGCATGTGCTTGCATATGTGTGTGTTTCTTTGCAGGCTGATTAGCAAGTGGGTTTTATGCTTATAACCGGTGGTCACTGCTGTTTTCTCCACTTGCTGGGTGCTTGTGATGCCTGCTAAATCCAGCTCTGTCATGGCTTCTCCTACTTTTATCAGACTTTCCTCTTAACTAATTCAGCACAGTGCTACAACCTTCGTAAGCAGAGGAACCAAAACTGAGCCAGAGATAACTGATTACAACTTGCTCCTTGGTGAGAGATTTTTTTTTTTATGGTTCAGAGCTAAAGGCTGTTGATTCAATTTGTCTTGGTTGTGGCGCGTGTAGCCTTGTTATTAGTAACAGACACGATTACACAGGTAATTTGTATACACCTTAAACAGGGTAGCTCTAAAACCCGGTACCTATGCATATATGTAGCCACGAAAAAAAAATAGTAAAAAAAATAGACTTTGTTTTCAGTCTGTCCGTCTAACCTTCATACTTGGTAGACAGTTTATGTAGCTTCATAGATTGATCTCCACCCCCCCTCCCTCTACTCCTTGTTTAGTTAATTCAACAAAGACTTTTTGCAATCTGTTTGGAGTTTGTCTGATGCCGTGGAAAAGTAGCTGCTGATTTATTTGGTTGCTTTTCGATTTCTGTCTCTAGCCCGTCTTTTCTCCTCCTTTCAGCGGGGATGTCAGCTGTTATTACTTCCTATTGATCCCTTTGCAAAGTGAGAAGTGAACTAAAATTAATGTCAATTCCACTGCTCGGATCAATAGCTGGAGTTATTTTAATCTGGATTTGCGCGAGGTGCTAAATTAAAAAAAATCAGCATAGAGGCAGAAAAGTAGCAGTTCCTCACTCCGCCTGTGCCCACTGCCTTCCCGGCACCCAAATGTTCCCTCCAGCTGATTACCCTGCAATCCATATTTTTTTAATTAAGAAGGTCGGTTAGTTTTCTTATTTTTGGGTTCTGTATTTAAACCTATGACATTTTGACATTGGGAGTGTATTAACGATAGATTTTCATAATGACTGGTCCGCCGCAGTCTAATCTCTCCGCGTTGCTGGGGGTGGGGAGGTGCTGGGCGAGAAGGGAACAAGAGAGAACGAAAAAGGAAGTGGGAGATGAAAAAAAATTAAATTTGGCTGGCTGAGATATTGTAATGTGTTGATTTATTCCCAGTGTAATGAAGTTTGCAAACGAATAAACGGCCGTAGTGATTCACAGTATCCTACAGGAGTGTCAAGCGTTGCGGCCAGATTACTAATTTATGAAATACATTTAACGTAATGGGGTGATAGCACAAGTAAAAATAGAAAAGGAGGCAGAGGTGGTTGCTTTTTTTCCCCCTGGAAATCCGTGTTTTCCCGTGATTGCTCGGTTTCACTTCCATGTTAATGATTGTTTATTTCTGAGAACGGTGGCTTATTTGCATGCATCTCTTTAGATATATAATCATGTGTGTGTATATCTATATTTACGCGGTTGCATAAGCCCCCGGCAACTCCAAATTTGCCAGTGGCCGCAGTTTCCTGACCTCCAGTTTTTGGTCAGCCTCGCGTGAAGCAGTGGAGCGAGTGTACCCAGGACTGCGGCGCTGACCAGGATGCCCTTGGCATCCCTCGCTCTCCCTCTCCCCCTCGCTCTCCGCGGCGAGAACTCGACGGGAAAGTTATTTAAAATTTGGAAGAGAGCAAATCCGTTAATGCGAGATACATAATCTGGTAATTTAGCAATGATGTCTGTAAGGATGGGTGCCAGATGAGGAAGCGGAGAGATGATGTCCACTCGTCTTCACAATTAATAACAGTCAGTGGAGCGTCTGGGTACAGGATGGGAGAGAGGAAATGTTATCACTGAACTACATTAAAGCCACAGACTGGATTTCATACACTTTGTTAACCTAGGCTCCCTCATTCATGGAGTACAAAAGGCACTCCATTAGGGAGCCACTCTTTCACTAAGTTTTATTCTCTTTCAATAATTTTTATTTGAGATGTTTGACCCTCTGGATTTAAGAGGCACAATTTGTAACAGCTTTTTATTATTATATGATTTTTCTGGCCCTTTGAGCTCCAGCGGCTGGTATATTGTTTCAAAGTTATAGTCCTTGTATTTTAAGCTGGGTTGTGGGGCCTGAATGGCAGGCAGCGGAAGCTTAAAAGAAAAGACACGAGATTGATTGGGGGAGAAAATAAGGACACAAAAAGCCGGAGTGAACTGGGGGAGATACAGAAAGGAGCATTTTCCCTTCTTTCACCCTGGGAGGGGGTTGTGGCTGGCTGGGTGGCTGCAGCCAACCTGGGAGGCTCAGCAAGATGCGAGGCAGAAATTTTGTTAACATTTTCCTCTAAATGTTAATGGCACATCCAGGGCAGTTTACAAATCTACTTAAGAGTGAGTGCATTAGGAACTAAAATTACTGATCCATTCTCTCTTGTCCCCGACCCGAAAGGCAGACGCTTGCAGAGATCAGATGGCAGAAGCACCCATTATGATTTTAAATATTGTCAGAGACGCCAGGCATTTTACTGGGGAAGTCTCTTCTCCCTTGGCTAACAGGGAGTGCGCGCGCGCGCCCGGGTGTTTGTGTATTACACACACGCACCCATGCACAGTCACATTGCTACATTCCAATGGTGTGTACATATATATATATATATATATATGATGGTATCAAGTACTGTGTGCACAAGTGCTTACCTACACATATATACTGTGAGAGTGAGGGAAAATACATGTCTGTTATGTATGTCTTAGGCATCGTGTACAGTATAACCGTGTCTGCTGTGTTATTTGGGTAGCTATGTGCAATAAATATTTTTATGTCGGTTCCACAGACCACCACCCCCCCAGGCAAATTAGTGGTGTGTGTATGTGTGGGCATGCTCAAGTTTATTGCAATTATATGTACATGCCTCTTTGGCCATATAAAATTCCAATTATAATTTGGAGTTACTATCTTAATTTTAGACCGAACCTTGTTTATTAGTGGGTTATTAAATCTGCGTGTTATTATGTTTGCTTTGCCTTTCATTCATCTGCACTGTATGATACCCTTTAACCTGGAGGGCCAGAGCCGATTCCACTAGTGTGTGAAGTTGTCTATTGATTTTCTTGAATGAGAACAGTGGCACGTCGCTGGCCGGTGGGTTGTAACACATGTGGCCACCCTGCTGCTGGAGCGACCCAGGGAGATGAACACAGAAACCTAACCGGCTGCGTTTTCTTCTCTTTTTTGTTTCCTTGCAGTGTTTGGAGGGTGATGATGCTCCAGTAATTTTCCCCGCTCCATTCCCAGGCATCGCTGTACTTTCCTTCCAGGGAAGATTGTTCCGCTTGTGATCCTGCTGAGGAAAGAGACTCCGATGGACTTACACCGGGCAGCGTTCAAGATGGAGAACTCACCCTACCTCCCCAACCCGCTGGCCTCCCCAGCACTGATGGTTCTCGCCTCCACCGCCGAAGCCAGCCGTGATGCTTCCATTCCCTGCCAGCAGCCGAGGCCTTTTGGGGTCCCCGTGTCAGCAGATAAGGACGTGCATATTCCCTTTACCAATGGCTCATACACTTTTGCCTCCATGTATCACCGGCAAGGTGGGGTGCCCGGAGCGTTTGCAAACCGTGACTTTCCTCCGTCCTTGCTTCACCTCCACCCCCAGTTTGCACCCCCCAACCTGGACTGCACCCCAATCAGTATGTTGAACCACAGCGGCGTTGGGGCTTTCCGCCCCTTTGCATCTACTGAAGACCGGGAGAGCTACCAGTCAGCCTTTACGCCGGCCAAGCGACTGAAAAACTGCCATGACACTGACTCACCCCATCTGCGCTTCTCGGACGCTGATGGGAAGGAGTACGAGTTTGGCACGCAGCTCCCCTCCAGCTCCCCCGGCTCCCTCAAAGTTGATGATACGGGGAAGAAGATCTTTGCCGTTTCTGGCCTCATTTCTGACCGGGAGACCTCATCCAGTCCAGAAGACCGAAGTGACAGATGTAAGTACCTCCGTTGACTTGTTGGCTCTTCTTTAGTTGCGCCCCGTTGAGATACTCAACAGGTGATTATCCCGCAGTGCTGTGGTTCTTGCTGACGGCAGAGGAAAACCAGCCTTTCCTGCCTGCCAAGCTCGACCATGCAGTATTGCCTCATCCCTTCTAAATGGACATTGACAGATTTTAAGGTGAGGTGCTCTTGAAGGAAACTTGTCTTCCAGCACACAGCTGGAGAGACAATGTTGACCATGCAGAAAGCTGTCTGTGCCCCGGTGGGAGGCTATAGGTGCTGGTACACATATGTGTGTAAACAGGGATTCAGCTGGAGTGTGTAGCCAGAAACTTTCCCAGAGCTTGCAGCAAACATGTACACCCTGCTTCTTCAGGTGGTTTTTTCTGACCTTTTCTTCATGCACACGGTTGTTAGAGCAAATGCATCACCTTCAGGATCCGTGCCTCAGGTTAGGACAAAAGTACCTTTTCCTCTGGTTAACTTAAGAATATTTCTGGCCACTGAGCTCCCTCCTCGAGACACAAACCCGAATCCGTTCTTACAATTCAATAAGCTGTTTCCCGACATACGCCGTGTGCTTTCTCTGAGCGTTTCCCCCCTTCGGTGCCTGTTGAAAGGTGATGTGCCCTTTCCCAGATCGGTGGTAGGACTGAAGGAAACCAGTCCACGTGCTCATGACTGTAACTGCCTGCTCCCCCGTCACCTCGTCCCTTGCGGTGTCGCCTACACAGAGGGGCAGAGCTGTCCTCCGGGAAGGGCAGGCTTCCAGGTTTGCGGAGCTGGGAGGTGACCCATGATGGGGAGTGGTCTGCGGGCAGCAGTGTGGTACCCCGAAGAAGAGCGCTAACTTAAGATTAGAGTTTTCCTGTAAACCCAGATGTGTAGACCAAGGAGCGAGTGGTTTGCTTTTCACGTGGGCTCCTTTGTTCTATTGAATTGTCTTCCTAGAAAACAATTGTGTTATTGTTGTTGTTATTATTACTGTATTTTTTTTTCAACAAAAACCTGCTGCACCGTTCCTTCCTCTCCCTTTCAGACGTGATTTTTCTTCTCCCCTTTATGATACCGAGGAGAGTAATAGAGACATTGTGGCTCGCTCTCCCCTGTCGGCGCTGCTTCCTCAGGCTGTCTCCTTGAATTAGGCACTGTGCTAACTTACTGGCGCTAAAAGGCATCTGCCTAAACCCAGCGTACCTTTTCAATAAAAGTCATCATAAAATCAACCTGCCTTGTAAATCCATCTCTCTTTGTGTTTGAAATATGCTGCGTGTCTTTTATGTCGGTGTTTGCGAGGGCGGGACGATTCCCAACGAAGGCAGAAGCCGTGTATTCCTTGCACTACGAATGCGATCTCTTATCTGTCTCCCCCCTCTCCTTCTGATCCACCCCTGACCGTGCTACTTTTTGTGCCGTAAGCTCCTTTCATTGTTCAGCATCTCCCCTCCCTTCTTTCGGGTCCGTGAGGGAAGCGGCTGTAGGTGGGAGCGTGTATGTGTATAAGCTGGTAATATAATTATCCTGGGGGGGAGGCAGGTGAGATGGCAAGGCTTAGGGACATCTTTGTC